AGAAGAAGAAGAAGAAGAAGAAGAAGAAGAAGAATGAAGAAGAAGAAGAAGAAGAAGAAGAAGAAGAAAAAGAAAAAGAAGAATGAAGAAGGAGAAGAAAAAGGAGAAGAAAAAGGAGAAGAAAAAGGGAAAAAGAAAAAAAAGAAGAAGAAGAAGAAGAAGAAAAAGAAGAAGAAGAAAAAGAAGAAGAATTAGAAGAAGAAGAAGAAGAATGAAGAAAAAGAAGAAGAAGAAGAAGAAGAAAAAGAAGAAGAAGAAGAAGAATGAAGAAGAAGAAGAAGAAGAAGAAGAAGAAGAAAAAAAAAGAAGAAGAAGAATGAAGAAGAAGAAGAAAAAGAAGAAGAAGAAAAAGAATGAAGAAGAAGAAGAAGAAAAAGAATGAAGAAGGAGAAGAAAAAGGAGAAGAAAAAGGGAAGAAGATGAAACACACAAATAAATAGCAACATTAGCCAACCTACTTCCTTTAAGCATTGGGCATTTTATCCATTTCTTTGCACAAATGTCCGTTGGGTGCATCCTTGCAAGCAATATGCCGTTGAGGTACATTTCTCCATAACAAGAGAACACGGGAATATCGACTACTATTAAAGATAAAAATTAGTAGTTGGAAGAAGTATTTGACCGGGACGCGAATCACAAATAAAGTCAGTCATCATAAAAGAATCATTGTTCATTCTTACTGGGAGTGAACTGTATTGAGACTGTCATTGGTTGTCGACATGTGAGGTGTTTTGGATGGAGAGTTACCTTTGCAGTTGGATCACGCTTAGCTAAAAGGTATAAAGTGAAAATGATTATTTATTCATCTATCTTATCTACTTTCATCTATTCATCCGTTTATTGGTTATCCATCCATCCATCCCACCATCCATCCATTTGATTCACTTAATTTCCCCTTTCTTGCGCGGTAGTTCAACAGACGTCCTTGGGTTGCGCATGTTTGTTAGGCGTTACATTCTTTGTTTACCGAGACCACATTCATGTAGCGCCCCAATTATTGATGGAAAACAAGAAATTATATCCCAAGGATGACCCGAAATGGGATAAACACTCGCCAAGCAGAGGAAGTCGATTTTCTCAATGTTTATTTATTTCTAATGAGTACTTACTGCATCCATACATCATACTCTGGTTCGTGATGAGTTTCGAGTGGATTGGGCTGTGCACAGGATACATTATGTAGGTCTCGGTTGACAAGGAAATAGAGAGGGCAAGCAGTAGACAAGGAAGGACGATGGCAAACATATTTCAAAACGTTTGCGGTCCAAAAAATCCCTGAAAGATAAAAAGAAAATGCACAAATCACAAGATAACAGTCAACAAGTGATTCTTGAAAGTCGACATGCCCATACATAGAAAGTGATCAAGGACTGACTTACCTCTTAAAATCAAGGCTGAACGTTTATGAACTTTGCCTAAATGTTCTTAATATATCATTATTAATGCAATGCGGAAGTATTTTGTGATTGGTCAAATATGTCAACACCAATCACAAGTTATGTTCTAGGAAAAGAACAAAAGTATGGTTAAGCAACAGCGTCTGCGTTTACCCTACTTAAAAAAAGGAAAAGTCCACCTTGAAAATCAAAAAATCCGAAAAAGGCGGATTGACTGCAGAATTGCACGAGTATTGTTTCGGAACTAGTAAACTGTTGAACTACCCGAAAAATGTGTTACAGTACACTATTAATTTTGCAGATAAAGTCTCATATTTTAAAGACTTTCGAGGAAGGATGAGAAAGGAACAAAGGAAGGATGAATTTTCATCATTTCTCATTTATTCACGCCAAGAAGAAGCGAAAACTTTTTTTTCCTCGTTGAAAGCAAAAGCCACACATTATAAACGTCTAGTTTCTATAAATCACAGCCAAAATACACAACAACTGAAACAAAGTCTTCCTTGATGCCAATTTAGCTGGATAATTTTTGCATATGTCGTTTTTTCTGTATTTACATCGAAGTCTAAAGTTTCGCATCCACAATCGAAAGCTTATAAGAACAAAAGCTTGGAACCAGTCTAAAGGCTTTATTTGTTTCTCGTCAAAACCCACACAAGACTTTTGAAGACCACWTACTAGCATCTACTCAGCTGGTTCTTTCACTTTTTACAATAGTGTGGCTATAGCGTGGCTACAATTTTTGTTTCTGTTCGATTGTAACGTTTCCCAGGGCCTTTTGCCATCGGTCCTATTGGTCTGGTTTCAGCCGAATCAACAACAATCATCTCGTCTCCTCGTAAAAACACGTAGAATCGACGTAGAACAAGTAGTTATCCTAGAAATTCTGACCTTTTTACAAAAGCGGCGGTCTTCATGGATATCTATTCACGCTCCTACTACGACCAAAGCTTGGAAAATTAAGGTAAACATATGTAGGTGGTTGATGCAGTAGTTTAAGCTATACTGTTACATTTAAGAGAATAGCATTGAAGCATATTTCTATGCTGTAGTCTGGTGGAGCACGATCTTAGTGTCGTTTACTCTTTCAAATTATTTCCTAATAGATAATTATGAAGATAAATATGTCATAAACTAACTGTTGATGAGACATTCTTTTCCTTTTTAGTGTATACAATTTAAGCAAGATGATTTCATTTGCTGTTTTGCTTATGATTCTGAATTTCCAATCATGTTCAACTATTGATCCTGAAACCAATAAAACAACTTGTCTAAAACCAAAGGTGGGACACTGCTCGTGTGAATGTCCTGGGGTAGAGTACTGCCGCGTTACGTGTAAGGGCCTAGACACTGTCCCTGAGGAACTCCCACCTCAAACATCCTATTTGTAAGTGAAATAATTCTAATTGTATTATCGATATTGTTCAGATCATTATCAAAATAAGAATTATCATTAATTTGCTGTATATTGTTTAGAGAAATGACAGACGGATCAATCAAGGAAATACCAACTGATTACCTCAAGAATACAAACCATTTGTATGAAATGTGAGTATGTCCTGTCCTGCCTTGCCTGTTTTCAACAACTTCTCTTTTTGGGATCTTTTCACAGAATGATTTTGAATTGGTTATTTTTCCTCACAGAAATCTGTCTAATAACAGCATCACAAACAGCTTCTACATTCCAAAGCTTGTTTATAATTTGTAAGTCTTTACTTATGAGTACGAATTACGTCTATATAATGCTGCATACTCACGTGACAACTTTTCCTAATAAACTCCATGCGTCAAGGGACCTGAGCAGGAATTCGCTGCGATCTTCGACCCTCTTTGGGATGTTGCGTAATCTCACATCGCTTACAACACTGTAAGTAATCTCCACTAAACTCAAACAAATAACATTGCTATATAACGTAATTTTAATCATTTGACTTGACTTGAGTGTCCTATCCACTGGCATGTGGTGCAACAACAAACGTTCTCCATTCCTGTCTACACTTTGTTTGTATTTCATGTATATCTAGGCTCTTTACAGCCGTTTCGTACTGATAAGTTTTAACTTAAAACTTGTATTTCTATTATCAATTGTTACAGTGATTTGTCACGGAATCCGTTGAATGATACTCTTATACCAGGAACATTTATTGACTTAGAGAACCTCGACACACTGTAAGTACATAGAGGCCATATGTCTTTTTTCTGCTTTGGCTGAATTATTATTGAATTATTGAGAATATTTGATGGTAGGCTGATTATGGACTGCGGAATAAAAGATCTTAAAGTGGGGACATTTCATGGGTTGAAAAAATTACGTAAAGTGTAAGTAAATCGTTTTGAATTCTTATGAATATAACTTCCGTCAACTTCTTTAAATAGCTGTTTATTTTCTTTTCCTTCAAGAAATATTGAATCAAATCAGATAAGTGTTTTAAAAAGAGGCATCTTGGATGGAATAGGTCAACGAGGCAAACCATCTCTAAAAGACATGTATGTAAAAATACCAGTAACTGTGGCTCTTTAGTCGGACCAGTGGTCTTAGCTTCGTTAAATTCCTAGACAGGGCGATCATAATAGCGCCTTAATGATCACGTGATCTCATTTTTGCAATTAATTTTTTTTGGTGTTTTTAGAAGTTTTCACCTCAACAAAATCTCTTATATTGAAGATGGTATATTCGAGGGACAGCAAATTAGAGGACTGTGAGTACAATTTGTCGTTTTTAATAGATAGAAGTGGAGGATTCAATAGACAGACAATTAGGCTACTGTTAGTCGTACTGAGTTCTTACGCGGCTATAAATCATTTGTCTTCCCATGCTCCCCGTCGGTCCTAGCTGCGATGATGCAATCTTTTTGAACCCAACAACGCTTTGCTCGCTTTTAAAGATTAATAGGATTCTCTCACTTTACTTACAATTTTTGATGAGCTTAAGAGCGACTCTGATCGCTGGGCAACAACGTCTTTAAAGTCTGGTCCTATTCTCTTTGTTTTCCCCCCCTTGATCTCCGAACGAAGCCGGAAGAATTAAAAAACGACCTGAAGCTAGCTAGTGAGAATACAGCCAACAGTTTCAATGACTGAATTTCTGTTTTATGAAACCATATTTTGAGTGCATGAATGTGTGAATCTCAAAGACACTTTAATGTTATCTAGATACCTACACGTCAACAGATTAACAAGTCTCCCAGACTTAACTGGACTTTGTTCACACATTCGTGAACTGTAAGTAAAGGCCGCTTATGCTACTCGACAATAATTTTAAAAAGTCATGATCTTATGAACAGTATATACCTTCTGACCCTGTGTTAAAGGTTAGGGTTCACGGGAGAATCGAGGATTTTCCCAGGATGGTACACTATTAGGGAGATGAAGTCTTACCTCTGGATCCATGGCTAGAGGCACCGGCCTATATATGTGTGCTGACAGCTAGAACTGTTTACTTGCACCCAATTAACCACCTAAATCCGAAACTGTTGTCAAATCTAGGACAGCTCATCAAGTAGTGTGAGGGTGTTGGGGAGTGTACCCAAGTGATTTGCCTGCTAGGACGTATTATCAAAAATTGCATCTAACATTTTTTCCTTCCTACCCTTCCCAGCTGTCCTTCCCTGGTCGGTTACCTTTCAATATATTTATTCACTATATAAAGACAGTGTATCAGCTATTAATGCTGTTTTAATTYAATTTTGAGCAGTCGATTGTCAGAGAATTATATCTCGGATATATCTGCTCTTTCCAAGTCTGGTATCAAAAGCATCGTAAAATTGTAAGTAACCCAGCATTCTATTTTAAATGCTTTTCCCTCAAAGACTTGTTAGATACTGCGAAATCTTTGATATTTAATACAATAGTATCTTTTTTTCCTGTTTGAACTGAAGATGGAAAACAATGCACGGCGATCATTCTAAGAAAAATTGGAGCATAGTTGGAGTAACTTGGAACCAAGTACTGCAGTTGACTGAGTTGTGTCAAAGAAAAACTTAAAAACGTCAAAATGTAGTATTATTAAAGCTTCCCCTGAAGTCACCTATTTTACTCCATAACAATAAGTCTTGTCAGAAAAAAGAGAAATTTGCCGAGGAAAACCTTTTGAAAATATTTAAGTTTCTCTTAGGCCATATCATTAAGTTTCATATTTCTTGTTTACCCTCAGGAAACTGGACCACAACAACATTTCGATGATTCCTTCAGGGACATTCGATAATATTGATATATTAACGGTGCTGTAAGTACTAATAAAGAAAGATGGTTGTGTTTGCATTAGTTCTTTACTTGATTCTCGGCTTTTTTACATTCCTTCATACATCATTGACGAATTTGCTCAATGATTCTTCTTTTTCCTATTCTTGTTTTTGTTCATACTTTAATGCTTTAGGGATATTTCGTTTAACTTCATCCAAAGAATTCAACCAAGAATATTCCAGAGATGCTCCAATTTGAGAGATTTGTGAGTACTGATTATTGTACAGAAGACGATTGTTTTTGAAACCTTAACTGTTTTGTGTTATACTAATGTAGGATTCTACAGAACAATAGACTAAGCATGCTTGAAAAGGACAGTTTTGCTGGMCTATCAAATCTTGAAAGATTGTAAGTCCAAACCTTATACATTATGTTTATAATGATCAATAACTAGAATCACTTTGTGTCTCTTATAGCCAGACAGGGAAAACTCTTCTGAAATTATGTTTTTTTTAGGGTTCTTCTTAATAATGACTTAMAATCTTTACCAGACTCCTTGTTTGAAAACATGGAGCTTTTAAACATGTAAGTATTAAWTTCATGTATTATGACAAAATAATACCAACCACTGATGAGCAGTATTTATTCAATAAATACTGCTCATCAGTGGTTGAAAAAAGTTTTTTCACTTGAAAATCCTTTAGTAACCGCATCACACATTGYGCGATTTCTTATAGATTTTTGAGCAGAAATAAATTTAACAAGCTGTCAGGACGCCCTTTTAGGGGAATGAAGAAATCTAACACAGAAATGTAAGTACAGTTACTGCTGAAACCTTAGTGAGAACCATCCCGATCTACATACGCATCATAGACGTCCGAGCTTGTCTCTAATCATTTTCACACTCTATTTMAATTTCAGATATATCTTCTCAAACGATATTCATGAAGTTGAAGATCCTTTTTTTGACGACTTAGAAGGCACATCGATCATGTAAGCGGTTTTGTGTCTTATGAATGCACTTAACCTCTTTATACAACGCACTTTAGTTGTCCCAACCCCAACACCGAGCCACCCACCACACAAACCAACCACTCAATCATCCCAGCAACTAACCAAACGACCATCCATCCATCCATCCAACAATCCCACCAAGCATTTAAGTAACCAACCAAGCAAACCACTTAACCATATCACCACCCATCCATCCACCAACCCAACAATCCCACTAAGCAACTAAGGCCCGGTTCATATCTCGAGCCAGCGTCGCGCCGAACCAAATAGTCAATTTGTGTCGACCAAAATACATTTGGTACGGTGTTGATTCATACGTCGAGGCAAATGCAGTCAGAAGCATAAGAAAAGGTGCGATAACACGCAATTTACACAATTATTATTGTCGAAAACAGATATTTTTGTGAATTAAGTTCGGCACGACGATAGCTCGACGTATGAATCAGCGTCGAGCTTTTGCCGTGCAGCACGACTGACTCTGCCGTGCCAATGCCGTGCTATGGTCGCGCCGAACTCAATTGATTCATACGTCGAGCTGTTCATGTGCTAAATTCAAACTATTTGGTTCGGCGCGAYACTGGCTCGAAGTATGAACCGGGCCTAAGAAACCAAGCAAGCAACCAACCAACCAAGCGACCATTTAATCATAACACCAACCACCCTCCAACCATCCACCCATCCATCCACGACCAACCCCACCAAGCAGTCAACCAAGCAACCAACTACCCATCTCACCAACAAAACCCTTATACCATTACCCAACCATCCCATGCCATCAATCAACGAAACATATCACCAGTTAACTACCCTTGATAGTACCTAATCACAAACCACTCATTAGCAAACCACTAACCAACACCCCACCGGTCTTCCTTGCTCCTATTTCCATTCATATTCATATTAAAGGAATAAAGTTATTATTGCAGAACCATGGATTGTCAGAACCTCAAAGGACTTCCACATGTTAGAAATTCTTCGCGGGTGTAAGTTATGTCAATCAGAACGATATACATCACGCTGAAAATTACATTTATCGTCAATATTTGCTATTTCAGAATTTGTACAAAGTATTTCTCCAATAATTGGATCGCACGTCTTAGCAAGGAAGTGGCTCTTTCTCTCTCGATATCTGGGTTCTTGTGTCACAAAAACAAAATTACTCATTCATATCGGTGTATGCCTTGTAGRCCGGGTACATTTGGTTCATATGGCGAATGCTTGAACTGTTCTGCAGGTAAGTACTGTGAGAGAGACGTGATAGCCTATAGTTGTTAAGGCATCGGACTTTAGGTCTACAGCCTGGGTTCGATTCTCAAACCGGACGATAAGGTTATGTCCTTAGGCAAGACTGTCTCTGTGTCTCGTCTTCGCGGAAAATTGAAAGGAAGTAAAAACTTAACACTAATTCGTAGTTATGTGGACAGGGCTCAAGTAAGGCGTGATCGCCYCTTGACCCTCGACCACGACGGGTTATGCGTATCGGAAAATGCGGTAAATCAGTTTGGAGCGAACTATAATCGGCTTTCGTTTCAAAACAACGTACAACCATAAACTAAAAATCTTTGCAGTATGAAAACAGTTCATCATTTCTCGTCGCCTTTTCCATTGATCCACATGTACGTGGATTAATTAGCACGTAAAACTACGCGACATAAATTCGATCTATATTCACATATGTGCATTATCTCAGGAGGGTTTTTCCAGGATGAGTTAGCACAGRTACATTGCAAAACGTGCAACATCGGTACATTTGTCCATCCCAAGAATGCACCAGCCACYGGACCGCTGACTTGCCAGGCATGTCCACAAGGTAAACATTATCCTTCCGTGGAATCACATTGCAATCGCTTTAATTGAAAATTATTTCTAAATTTCCCCAATTTTCATATTTGCAAAGTTTCTAATTTTATTCGTGCAATTTCCATTGATTTTCTTCTGATCAATTAAGGTACACAGTCAAGTCAATGGTCAGGATACAGAGCATGCAAATGTCTACAAAACTTCTACAGATTTGATCGATTTGATCGGTGCTTTCCATGTCCAAGTAAAGGTGTAAATTGTACCAACGACTACGCCATTCTTTCAGAAGGCTACTACTGGGAATGGACAAATGAAAGCATGAAAAACGACTACGATAGGTACATTACCAACTTGATGATTGAAAGCAGGGACTACACAAACGGGACGTGGACATTTACAGGGTCGCTTCCAGTACCTCACAAATGCCCGCGTAAGTCATGCCGCGGTGGACTGAACTCTAGTTGTGTCATTGGTTACCATGGTCCTCTCTGCTCACTCTGTGACGTAGGCTATTATAACAGRATGAACAGGTTTGTACTCCGCAATGCCAAAGAAATCTTGCAAGAGTGCAATAATAGCAAAATTGTTTAATGTTTCTATAGATGTATCCGCTGTCCTACAACACTGTGGGCTACCATCAAAGTGGTCATAGTTATTGTACTGTTCATATTACTTCTTCTTGCCATTATGTGGGGAGATAGGAAAAAAGTAGGAAAAACAGACAATGGCAACGAACGAGGAAGAACCATTGCTGACAAGATCTTGTCGTGTTTCAAGATTGTCATTGGTTTTTACCAGGTAAACGTCTTCGGGAAGCAGCAAGCGTACTTGAAAAAGCAATTGAAAAGAAATTTCATTCTCTGAGTATCTGTATAAGAATCACATAACCACCTGTTCTATTGGTCGATCATGATTGACGTTACAAATATGTCCCGAGTTAATCTAACTAATAATCTAATCATTCTTCAGGTAATGTCTGGAGTTTACTCGGCTTCCATACGCGTTGAATGGCCTTCATCTGTTATTTGGATGCAGAAAGCTGTTCAGTTTATCCAGTTTAATGTCCTGGAAATCGCTCCTCTAAGCTGCATATCATCAAAACTGTCTTTTAACGTCCTTCAACAGTTCGTCATTGTTATTGGTTTGAATGCTGGTGTCGTTGGTGCATTTCTTGTCTATCTGGTCGTTCAAATCTTATTTCTTAGGAGAAGAAAATCAAATCGTTCTCAAATAGACATCGAAGAAGCTGTTCTAAAAGATAAAAGTTCAGCCATTCGTAATATTTGTGTTTTTCTGTTTGCGTCTTATCCCAAGACTTGCACGAGTATCATCCAAGTTCTGCCAGTGAACTGCTTGTCTCTCTGCTTTGATAACCAACACGACCATTGCAGCTCGTATCTTCGTGCTGATTTCTCGATTCTTTGCAGCACAAAACCGAACTACACCAATTACTCGCTGGCTGCTATGGTTTTCCTTTGGTATCCTATCGGCTTTCCTTTGGTCGTGATGATCTTAGTGTGGAAATACGCCTCAAAAGGAAGCATTGAAGATGAAAATGGCGGACAATGCACTGATCATGACGTTCCTTCAAGTGGAGCGTTCACCTTCACGACATCTTCAGCCGAATCTCCATTCAAAGCTGGTCTTCGTCTGTTCAGTGAGAACTACAAGCCAAATTGCTGGTACTGGGAAGGATTGGAAATGATCCGGAAGTTGGTTCTCGTTTCCGGGTTAGCTCTGATTGGTGAACACAGTCGTACCCAGGTTGGTCTCGGCGCAATTGCTTCAGCGCTGTTTGCAGTTCTTTACGTATACAAACGTCCAATCAGAAACAACTTTGAAAACCTTCTGCAAACCATCTCGTTAATGGCGATATTCTTAAATCTTGGTATTGGCACGATGTTGAAGTCATCTGACAACAGCGACGACATCA